AAGAGCAGATATAACGTTCCTGAAACGTCCCTCAGTGTTTGGAACGTTGGTCGGACATGGGGCTCCTTTGCTTCAGGCCTTTTTTTATGATGTTCAAACCTCAGAAAATAACCTTGGTGTTTTTTCCTCAGGCATTATAGACGGTCCGACCTTCAAGGACCCCTGGATAACTCCGCTTCCTGTTCTGTCTCCATCCAGGTTTTCTAAGCACAGGAGACCAGGCGGCCAAGGGGAACTACGGGCTCCTGGATCAGATCCAGGCTCTCAGGTGGATCAAAGAGAACATCCATGCCTTCAAAGGAGACCCAAAGCGAGTCACCATCTTTGGCTCCGGTGCCGGAGCTTCCTGCGTCAGCCTGCTCTGCCTCTCCCATTACTCCGAAGGTAGGAGCTCCTCCATGGAGTCAGGAGGAGAACCTCCATCTGCTGAGACATTTCAGATATCCAGAGGTTCAGGCATCAGGAGGAAACAGCCTGATCTCAGTATCAGAGAATCTAAGGGAGCCAAACAGTGAAGGTTTCAGGTCAGACCATAAGAATGATAAACTAAGGGTAAAAACATGGCACTGCATCCAGATTGTAAAGCAACTATTGAATGCGTGGTGTTTTACATTCACTGTGAGACGCTTCTAGATGAAAGAGGTGAAAGTTTGCTGGCTGGATTTCAAAGATAACCCACAGGAGCAGCAGATCAAACAGAACAACAGAGTCTGCGGTGCTGAAACGCTTCATCTCTGCCTCCTGTATCTGCACAGCAGAACCCACCTGCTTTCATCACACCATAAACAAACACTCTCCATAATGCATCACAGCGAAATGGCCTCCGTCAGTCAGAGCCGGGCTTTAAATCCGCAGCATCATCAAGTCGCTCTGCGGTGGGGGCGGAGCCTAGGCTCGCCGTCACCAGATGCTGGAACGGAGCTTAACAGGCCTTCTGGGGAACGTCGGCTCTGTGCTCCAAACATACTTTCCAGATCGGCCTGGTTGAGTCACCGCTCTGTTAGCATGAATATAAATAGAAGCGTCTGAAGCAAAATAAGGATGAATGTCGAAAAGGAGAAACTGTGACCTATTTGGAAACACACAAAGCTACTGTATGACAGGCTGACTGCAGGCTGACTGCAGAGCTGCAACAGATGCGGATGGCTGCGTGGATCTGTTACCATCCTGCTCATTCCAGGAACACTGCAAAGTATCCAACCATTTAAAGACATGTGGAGGAAACATGTTGGTATGTCTGTTCTTAGCCTCACAGGCTCCAAACGAAGGTCACGAGAGATAAGACTGAGTCACACAGCGTCCTCATGGCATGAAGGGGAGGACTGCTGCTTTGAGAAGATCCATCTGGCCAGTGGAAGATAAACTAACCTAACAGGGAACGGCCTTCAGGAACTCAATGCCTCAGCTTCCTAACTCCACAATGAGCAAAAGGAAAACTAACTGGCCTTTATGTGGGAAAGCTAGTGGATGTTCCATCTTTGACAGAACATCTTCCCACAGCTTCATCAGAGAGGAGAACTGGCCGGGAGAGGGAAGCAGGGAGAGATGCATGGAGGAAGGTTATGCCTCCAGTTAGCAACAGGAATAAATATACGACGATTAGGAATCATTTTCAATATAAAGATCTGAGCTGAATAAGTGAAGCTTAAAGGATTCATCACTCTATAAACTGTTTAAATAGGAGGAGGATACTTCAGACATTCAGTATGACATCAAAAATCATCAATTCAGGTCACTTTATAGATCTAAATCAACCAGATCATCCAGCCAGATTGGTTCAAAGTTTTCTATCTAAGGAAAACCAGCTGATTACATCGACTCATTGACTCTTCAGCAATCCCTCACACTAAGCATGCTTGTAGCGACAGTGGAGAGGAAAAACTCCCTTTGAACAGGAAGAAACCTCCAGCAGAACCAGGCTCAGTGTGAGCGGCCATCTGCTGAGGCCCACTGGGGTTCAAGGAGACAGAAGCAGACATAGAAAAAGAAGCATAGATACAAAAGGCAACCGTCATTGAAGCAGTTAATAAAGCAGAATGATGAAAAAGGGGTCCCTATGTCCTCCAGCAGTCTAAGCCTATAGCAGCAGAACTATAGAGATAGATCAGGATAACCTGAGCCACTCTAACTAGAAGCTTTATCAAAAAGGAAAGTTTTAAGCCTAGCCTTAAAAGTAGACAGGGTGTCTGCCTCACGGACTAAAACTGGTAGTTGGTTCCACAGGAGAGGAGCCTGAGAACTAAAAGATCTGCCTCCCATTCTACTTTTAGAATTTCTAGGAACCACTAGTAAACCTGCAGATTGAGAGCGAAGTGCTCTGTTAGGAACATAAGGAACAATCAGATCTCTGATATCAGATGGAGCTTGGCCATTTAAGGCTTTATATGTGAGAAGGAGGATTTTAAATTCTATTCTGGATTTAACAGGAAGCCAATGAAGAGAAGCCAGGATAGGAGAGATATGATCTCTCTTTTTCATTGATTCGTTTATTCTGGTTCTCTAAAACATATAAATGTGAGAAAGAATCCTAAATAAATCCCCTTTCCTTGAACTGTAAACATTCTGAATGGTTTTATTTTGACTCATGATGTGTGGGCGGGGCTTAGTGGGGCATTGGTGTTTAACTAACAGCAGATTCTCACTCAGATCTGTTCCAGAAAGCCATCATCCAGAGCGGGACGGCGCTGTCCAGCTGGGCGGTCAATTACCAGCCTGCTAAGTACACCCGCTCCCTGGCTGAGAAGGTGGGCTGCAACATGCTGGACACCATCGACCTGGTGGAGTGCCTGCAGAAGAAGAGCTACAAGGAGCTGATCGAGCAGTACGTCACGCCTGCTAAGTACCACATTGCTTTTGGGCCTGTGATCGACGGAGACGTGATCCCCGATGACCCCCAGATCCTCATGGAGCAGGGGGAGTTCCTCAACTATGACATCATGCTGGGGGTCAACCAGGGCGAGGGCTTTAAGTTTGTTGACGGCATCGTGGACAGTGAGGATGGAGTATCCGCCAACGATTTCGACTTTGCTGTGTCTGACTTTGTGGATCATCTTTACGGCTACCCAGAGGGGAAGGACACCCTGAGGGAGACCATCAAGTTCATGTACACGGACTGGGCCGACAAGGAGAACCCCGAAACCCGCCGCAAGACGCTGGTGGCCCTTTTCACCGACCACCAGTGGGTAGCGCCGGCGGTGGCCACAGCCGACCTCCACGCTCAGTACGGCTCCCCCACCTACTTCTACGCTTTCTACCACCACTGTCAGAGCGACATGAAGCCCAGCTGGGCCGACTCGGCCCACGGCGACGAGGTTCCCTACGTGTTCGGGATCCCCATGATTGGACCCACCGATCTTTTCAACTGCAACTTCTCCAAGAACGACGTGATGCTGAGTGCAGTTGTCATGACCTACTGGACAAACTTCGCTAAAACAGGGTAAGATTTCCACTTCCTGTCTCCGTCTGTGGTCACCGATCCATGCAAACAGTATTCATTGATCAGATATCTCCATATGTTGGTAAAACGCTGCTATAATCATTCGTGTACACAAACCTTTCACATTAGGACGTTCTACTCGCCAGAGTTACAGCGGTTAGCTAACGGTTTCCAGGCCATGATGGCTGTTAAGCTAGCTGATGTCAGACTGAAGATAATGATACATGCAAACAAAGAAAGAATGTTTCCATAATGCTCATTGGAAGGGATGATATAACCGATAAAAACCTTCTGGGCGTTAAAGACATTCGAGGTTAGCATAGCACTGCTATTAGCGTCTCACAGACAATGTTAGCCTTTTGATGCATTAATGTTTTCTAAAATGACATATCTATTAATGCTCCAACCCTGGATTTGGGGAATGAAGAGATATTCAGGCTATAATTATCTATTAAATGATTAGTCAGGTCAATAAAACACAGAACTGGGTTTGATGGAAGGATCTGCTTGCTCTTTAGATCTGGATCACGTTTCTTTGCTTCACACCAACATGCAGATAAACCGTCAGGCTGTTTGTGGGTCAGTCACACCAAAAATTCCCTTTAAGGCAAATAAATAAAGTGTAGATCAGCGGGATAGTCTGCAGCGCTCCACCGCAGGCTGTTTGGCTCCAGTTCAGCTGGTGCCAGATCAGCGGGGGTTTGGTCTCCTCAGACATTTAGGGAAGGCTCTTTTCTGCTATGCTCTGCCAACTGAAGGATAATTCATCACTGGGCTCCTCACTGGTTGCAAAGTCTCCAGCTGTGATCACACAAAAACAGCCGGCTCTGATTTCAGAAGGAGGAATGGAGATGGAGGTTTTATGTTTGCTTGCTTCCTTCCTTTTTAGGGTCAGTCCTCCCCCTGCCGGCCCAGATCCACACCCTCTGCAGCGCTATCGTCAGAACAAAATGTCTCCAACAGCTAAATGAACAGATTTAAGAGACTAACCTGCTGTGAGAAAGTTTTAATCAACCAGTACATTAATACGATTATAGAAACAGGAAGCTTGTTTGTTGCTCAGTGGCTCATTTTGTCTGAACTTTCGTTATATACCGAAACCTTAGCGTTAGCAAGATTGAAACCTTAGCATTAGCAAGACCGAAACCTTAGCATTAGCAAGACGGAAACCTCAGCATTAGCAAGACCGAAGCCTCAGCATTAGCAAGACCGAAACCTTAGCATTAGCAAGACCGAAACCTTAGCATTAGCAAGACCGAAACCTTAGCATTAGCAAGACCAAAGCCTCAGCATTGGCAACACTGAAACCTTAGAGTTAGCAACACTGAACACTTAGCGTTAGCAAGATTGAAACCTTAGCATTAGCAAGACCGAAGCCTCAGCATTGCCAACACTGAAACCTTAGAGTTAGCAACACTGAACACTTAGCGTTAGAAACACTGAAGCCTTAGCATTAGAAACACTGAAACCTTAGAGTTAGCAACACCAAAAACTTAGCATTAGCAAGACTTAAGCTAGACCAAAACCTTAGCATTAGCAAGACCAAAGCCTCAGCATTGGCAACACTGAAACCTTAGAGTTAGCAACACTGAACACTTAGCGTTAGCAAGATTGAAACCTTAGCATTAGCAAGACCGAAGCCTCAGCATTGCCAACACTGAAACCTTAGAGTTAGCAACACTGAACACTTAGCGTTAGAAACACTGAAGCCTTAGCATTAGAAACACTGAAACCTTAGAGTTAGCAACACCAAAAACTTAGCATTAGCAAGACTTAAGCTAGACCAAAACCTTAGCATTGGCAACACCTAACCTTGGCATTAGCAATACCAAACGAGGAAATATTATTCTGATTAACAGTGAAACAGTCAGACGTCTGTTTACGGCGTAGGTAAATATTATTCTCATTAACAGTGAAACAGTCAGACGTCTGTTTACGGCGTAGGTAAAAATTTTTCTCATTTAAAAGTGAAACAGAAACAGAAAAGTCGTTTACCCGGCGTAGGTTTAAAAATTATTCTGTTAAACAGTGAAACAGTCCCGACGTCTGTTTAGGCTAGGTAAATATTTTTTCTCATTAAAAATTAAACGTCAGATTTGTGTTTTCGGCGAAAATAAATATTATTCCCATTAACAGTGAAACAGTCAAACATCTGTTTAAAAGGCTAGGTAAAAAATTATTCTCATTAAAAAGTGAAACATCCCGAAAATCTGTTTTCGGCGCAAAGGGAAATATTATTCTCATTAAAAAGGTTAAAAAAGTCCAAAAACCTCTGTTTACGGCGTAGGGAAAATCTATCTGAAAACAGTGAAACAGTCAGACGTCTGTTTACGGCGTAGGTAAATATTATTCTCATTAACAGTGAAACAGCAGACGTCTGTTTTACGGCTAGGGGAAATATTATTTCTCATTAACAAAAGAAACAAACAGACGGGCTGTTTTTCGGGGTTTGGTAAATATTTATTTTCCCATTAAACCCGTGAAAACACTAGACGCTGTTTACGGGGTTAGGTAAATATTTTTCTCATTAAAAAAGTGAAACACTAGACTTTTTTTTAACCCGGGGTAAAGGTAAAATATTATTTTCATTAAAAGTGAAACTTAGACTTTTGGTTTTCCGGGGGAGGTAAATATTATTCCCCGATTAACAGGGGAAACAGTTAGAACGTCCGTTTAAAAAGGCGAAAGGGAAATATTTAAATTTTCCATTAACAGTGAAAAAAGTCAGAAGCTGTTTAAAAGGCGTAGGGAAAATATTATTCTCCCTTAACAGTGAAACAGCTAGACGTCTGTTTACGGTGGGAGGGAAAAATTTTTATTCCAAATTTAACATGAAAAAAGCTAGACGTCTGTTTAAAGGGTTTGGGGAAAAAAATTTTTCTCATTAACAGTTTAAAAACACTTTTCACACGTCTTTTTTAAAGGTGTAGGAAATATTAAATTTTCCAAATTTTCAAAAACAGTCCTAAATCCCCGGGTTTTTCCGGGGTAGATAAAAAATTTTTCTCATTAAACAGTGAAACAAATTTTGAAAGTTTTTGTTTTTCGGCCCCAAAGGGAAATATTTAAAATTTTCATTAAACAAAGGGAAAAAGCTAGACGTCCCGTTTTTCGGGAAAGGAAAAAATTTTTCTGAATAACAGTTGAAACATCCCCAAAGTCTGTTTACGGCGTGGTTTAAATTATTATTCCCCTTTTAAAAGTGAAACAGTCAGCGTTTTGGTTTTTCGGCTAGGTAAATTATTAATTTTTGAAAAAACAGGAAACAGCTAGAACCTTTTGTTTACGGGGGTGGGAAATATTATTTTTGAATAAAAAAAGGAAAAAAGTTTTGACATCGTTTACGGGGTAGGTAAAAATTAAATTTCCCTTAACAAATGAAACAGCTTAAAACGTCTGGTTTTTCGGGGTAGGAAAAAATTTTTCTGAATAACAGGAAACCTCAGACGTCCGTTTTACGGGGTAGGTAAAATTATTATTCCCGAATAACATTAAACAGTTTTTAACCCTCTGTTTTTTCGGGTAGGTAAAAATTATTCTCATTAAAAAAGTGGAAAAAAGCTTTGGGGTCTGTTTACGGGTAAGGTAAATTTATTCTCAAATTTAAAAGGAAACATTTAGAAAGTCCCGTTTTCGGCGTTGGGGAAAATTTATTCTGAATAACAGTGAAACGTCAGACGTCTGTTTAAAATGGCTAAAAGGGAAATATTATTCCATTAAACAAGGGGGGAAACAGCCCAGAAATTTTGTTTACGGTTTTAGGTAAAAATTAAATTTCCCCCCAAAAAAGTGAAACCGCTTGACCTGTTTAAAAGTGTAGTAAATTTTTATTCTCATTAACCCGGAAAAACTAGACTCTGTTTACGGCGTTAAAGGTTTAAAAATTATTTTCATTAACAAATGAAAAAAGCTAGACGTCAGTTTACGGTGTTTGGGTAAAATTATTTCCCCATTTTAAAAGTGAAACAGTCAAAACGTCCTGTTTACCCGGGGTAGGTTTAAATATTATTCTAAAATAACAGGGGAAAAAAGTCAGAAAGTCTGTTTCGGGGTTTGGAAAAATTATTCTGATTAACATGAAACAGTCCAAAAGTCTTTTACGCCCTAGGGAAATTTATTCTGAATAACAGTGAAACAGTCCCGACGTCCCGTTTACGGTTTTAGTAAATATTCTGAAATTTGACATGAAACAGTCAGACGTCTGTTTCGGCATAGGTAAAAAAATTCCCGAATTTAAATTGGAAAAAAGTCCCGACGTTGTTTTCGGGGGAAAAGGGAAAAAATTTTGAATTAAAAAGTTTTAAACAGTCAATGTCTGTTCTTAACGGCGTAAGGTTTAAAAATTATTCTCATTTTAACATGAAACAGTCAGATGTTTTGTTTACGGGCGTAGAAAAAATATTATTCTCATTAACAAATGAAACAGTCGAAATCCCGGGTTTAAAGGCTTTTGGTAAATTTTTTATTTTGAAAAACAGTGAAAACAGTCAATGTCTGTTTTAAAAGGCGTTTTGGGAAAATTTTTCTCATTAAACAGTGAAAAAAATCAGAAACCCTCTGTTTACGGGGTGATAAAAAATTATTCTCATTAACAGTGGGAAACAGTCAGATTCTGGGTTTTCGGGGTAGGTAAATATTATTCTGAATAACAGGGAAACCGTCAGATGTCCCGTTTTACGGGGTAGGTAAAATTATTCTCAATTTTAAAATGAAACAGGGCAGAAAGGCTGTTTTTCGGCGAGATAAATATTAAATTTCCCTTAAAGTGAACCAGTCAGAAAAGTCTGTTTACGGTGGGAGGTAAATAAAAATTCTCCCTTAAAAAGTGAAACAGTCAGACTTTTGTTTTAAAGGTGTTGGTAAATATTTTTCTCATTAACATTTAAACAGTCAAAAACGTCTGTTTTCGGCGTAGGGAAATTTTTATTCTGAATAACATGAAACCGTCAGACGTCCCGTTTACGGGGTAGTTTTAAAAATTTTTCTGAAATTTAAAAAGT